AATCACTTGCTTCAACTATTTGAACACTATAAGGGAGTCGTGTTACAAGCACCTCACACTTACTGGAATTTAACTACGTGCCTATGTCTACTTGGGACGGACAGAAGGGAAACTCTTATTTTCCCCAACGCCCATTTGCTCTTTCAAGCAGACCTGGCCCATATGGAAGAACGAGGCCCTCACCTGTAAGTAAAGAGGGGCGTAAGTTAATCTCTGGCTTTTGAGCTTCCATGGATTCAGTTCTCAGTGCGTGGGGTGGGGGTCCTTTTTCTCTTTTTGGCACGGAGTCTTGCTGTGCGGCCAGGCTGACTTCAAATCCCTGGTCTGCAGTAACCCTTCTCTTTTAGCCTCCATAGTAGGTAGGACTATGTGCATGCGTCCCTGCACCTAGGTGATTCAAGTATTTTCAAAGGTGATTCTGTTCAAGTTTCCTCCTTATTGTCTGACCTGGGCTTCTAATCCTCACATACATTACAATTCCCATGCATGACGATTAATCTTAACTGTCACCTTGACTGGTCTGAGAGGCCTAGGAGATAGTAAAGCACACTTCTGACTGTGTCTGGGAGGGCCATGGGTGAGACCTTGGAGACTACATCTGGCTCCTTCCTCTCTGCTCTCTTACTCCTGTCCGCTTCCTGTATTCCATGATGTGAGCAGTTTTCTTCCACCATGTCCTTCTGCCATAATGTTTCTGCCTTGCAACCAGCTGACCATGGACTGAAGTCTCCGAAATCATAAGCCAACATCAATCTTTTCTCGTCTCTTTGTATATGTCAGGGATTTTGTCCCAGGAACAGAAAGGTGACTAACATACCATGTAACTATTACTAAAGCAGTTTCATCAACTGGCCATGGAACTAGGATTTAAAGACAAACCAAGCTCTCCAGGCACGGGCCTAGGTCACGATGACATGGCCAAACGCACCAAGCAGGTCAGCACTGTTGGTAAATACAGGACCTGCTACGGGGCCTCACTCCAGAAAATGGTGAAGGAAACTGACATCAGTCAGCATGCCGCGTACACCTGCTCCTCCTGCGGCAAGACCAAGGTGAAGAGATGGGCTATACGGAACGGGCACGGTAGCTTCCGCACACAAACAGTGGCTGGTGGTGCCTGGTCCTACAATAGCACTTCTGCAGTCACAGTCAAGTCAGCCACCAGAAGACTACAGGGACTGAAAGACCAGCAGAAGCTCTCCTCTCTGAGACAGCCATAGCCTAAAATAAATGGGTTAATTTATGTAAAAATAAATAAATAAATGTAAAAAACAAATCAAGCCCGGTATGGCGGCGCACACCTGTAATCCCAGCCCTTGGGAGGCTAAGACAGGAGGATCGCTGCTAGCTTGAGGCCAGCCTGGGCTACAAAGTGAGCTCAAGGCCAGCCTGAACTACATAGCGAGACCCTGCCTCAAAAAGATGAAACACAAAACAAATCAAATCAAAGTTCTCATTGAAATATAACAAAAACTCCTGTTTACAGAAAAACTCCCATCCTTATCCACCTTGAATGAGCCACAGCCCACAAAACACTGGCACCTGAGGTGTTCCAGAGTCAGGCGTCCAGTCTGCCGATATCCCGTGTCGCTGGTGACGGCAGGAAACCGCAGCGGGTTGAAGGAGGTCCTATACTGCCCCGTGTCCCTTTTCCTTAGTTCAAATACACACTCGGATCTAAAGGGAAACCGAAGCTTTATTCCTCAAGGGCTCGTCACGTTCCCATGCAGTTCTCAGCTCAGTCAGGTGTGCTGTGAAAGGGGCCTTTATAATTTGAGAGCATAACAAAGTATGCAAATGGAGAGAAAGAGGCAAAGCAAGGAGGGGGGGGGATGCATCAATTTGCTGCCATCTTAGTTTGAATGGCTGTGATTGGATATCCATTTACAGGAATTGGGGGAATGGTTAAAAAAAAAAGGTAAAGATTTTAGAGAAATTAGCATCTAAACTGGTTAACCACAGGAAATCACAAAATTGCCTTGGTTTTTACAGCAGTGGTCCCCAAAGTGTGGTCCTTAACCCCCAGCAACTCATCGCCTGGGGACCTGTCCCAGAGCAAATTTTCAGACCAGATCTGGAGAGGCCCGGGAAGCTGCTGAAACAAACTCTTTAAGTTGTTCTGGGTGTGAGTGGTTCTACCCGCAGTCCTGGCAGCGTGCAAAGAGGAACGGGAGAACCAGCTAAAGACACACGTTTTCCCCACCCCGGGAAATCCAGACAGGGAGAGAGACGGCTCTTCATCTGAAAACCAGCGAAGTTTGTTGGCTGAGGCAGTGATTTTTATTATTCCCGGGAGTATGGTACTAATTTCAGCTATTCGCTCCAGTTTATGACTTGCTAAATACTTCTCCCCCAAGGGCTCTTCTTTCTTCCCTCCTCCCTCCCTCTCTTGCTTTTCTCTTCAGTGTTGAGGATCAAATCCGGACCCGGAGCACACTAACCACGCTAACCATGCGCTCTACCGCTGAGCTACACCGCCGGCTCCACGCTGCCTTTGCTAGCGCAGAGAGACCTCCTCCTCCTCAGGTAACCCCCAGAGCTAGCACTGCGACGAACCAACAACTTAGTGTGAGCACACAACTGCTGGACAACGAAGAACACAGCCTCTGTCTGAACTGATATAAGCTCTGTTTACTAAGATAAAGACGGCAATCACTCTGTCTCTTCTTTCACTTCTGCAGGCTTATAGGAAAAAGAATGACATACAATTACAGCATTTTATACTTTTTAAGGTGGTGTCCTTACACACCTCTATAGGACAGCTGGGGTGCAGGGCTGAACCTGGTGGCCCCACAATTTCATAGTCCTTACGACCCGGGAGAAACGCCGTAGTTTCTAAGTTTTGGATTTCATTTCCCCACCTGCAATGTGATGCCAGCACAACCTCCCTTAAAAAGAACACATGGTAACTGTGGGCCGCTCGTCCCGAAGACACTAGCAGCAGTGACGGCCGGGGACACTCATACGGCTCAAACGCAGCACGCATTTTGCATCGGATCACAAATCCAGCCTAAACCCAAGATTTCTTCTGATCCTTCTTAGGAAGACAATAAAATTACAAATGAATACCTATAGGTGAACGGAGAAAAAAATCAGAGTTAAATTAAGGAACGCACAGCAGAGGAAGCTGCCATCAACGATGTTTAATGAACATCTATCTTGGGTGCTGCTTAGGAAGCGGCTGCCCTACTGAAAGGAATAGAAGAACTATACCCGCGCGGCACACACGTGTACATACACACCATACGCGCTTCGTGTCCCCACAAAGCATGCGTTGGAAGCTTTTCCTCCAGTGCAAGCACTGAGAGTTAGACTCTGTAGGGGTGACTGGTCCCTGAGGACTCTACCTTCACGAACAGGTGTGTGTGTGTCTCTATCACGGCAGTGGGTTTGTTACCACTGGAGTGAGCTTCTCAGGAAAGGTCAAGTTTGAGTCCCACTCACCTGCCTGCAAACGTGCTCGCACACTCCCCTCACCCCACATTTTCTCTTCCCTCTTCTACCGTGGGATGGGGTAGGGAGAAAGCCCTCGTCGGCCGCCAGCCTCAAACCTGTGGCCAGTGCACTTACATGCACCATAAAGCACCCAGCCTGTGTTTACGCTGTTGCAGCAAGGCTAAATGGACGGGGACACCAGACGCACACATTCTGCCTGGAAGCAAAAGAGAAGTTGATGCGTTTGACACACAAATGGAATAATTACGCATCCTGCTCATTTGTTTGGCAGATGATTTATTTTTGGTGACTCTAATGAACAACTCAGGGAGATCTACACTTATAGCTGCAATCACACACATACAGAAAATACATTTCATTAACCCTAGAGGCGCTCCAACAACCATGATGTAAGACGCTGTCACAAATTATACCTCTGCAACTAAAACCTACCAACACAACTCACTCTGCTCAAGCTAGGTGTCATGGCACATTCCTGTAATTCCAGCACTCTGGGAGGCTGAGGCAGGAGGATCAGCTTGGGCAATTTAGCAAAATAAAAAATTTGAAAAGGGCTGCGGGAGTGGGGGAATGTAGCTCAGTGTGTAGGCCCTGGGCTCAATCCCCAGTATCTCAGACACACACACACACACACACACACACACACACACACACACACAAAACATGATTGGGCTCAGTGTAGTTTAAGGTGATAGGTTAAATGTTTCTCACCACTATTCTAAACAACCACTAAAATCTAAATTTTTGGTGATTGCTTTGTAAGATTTAAATCTGTTAAGTAAATACCAACCTCTCTGGAAATAAGTTTTTAATTTTTTTAGAAATAAACTGTCACCACCTTGGACCACAGTGTCTGATCATAGTGGTGTTATTATAGCAGCTCCGTTATTGAGCCCTTACTGAACGGCAAAGCAGTGGGAAAGTCTTCACAAGCGCTGAAGTAGGAGGGAAGAAACACGTAGAAAGGAGAGAAGGACAAATCCTAACTTTAAAGCGTTACTTTTAAGAAACCTGCAGCCCCGAGGCACAAAGTTACCGAAAGCTACCATGCTTTTTTGCCACGCCCAGGAAACTCACTCAAATTAACTGAAAGATACAAAAAGCCGGGAAAACTGGGCCCTTGCTTTTTACCAGTAAACAGGGCTCCTGGTTTCCTCTGATCGCTGAGATCCGCACATTCCACAGCCTCCCACCCCCAGCAAACAGCACTGTTAATCCAACACCGTATCTCCGATCTTCAAACACATACCCGGTTTGCTTCCTAACCCAGCCCCCAAAGGGGTAACCGGACAGACACCAGAGATACACATCCTAGATGCGGGTGCCGAACCGTCACAGCACTGGGACTGCTTGTGCCACTGAAACCTCTGAAAGCTTCGCCATCCCTGCCTAGACAATGTTTTACACACAAACACCCCAGCCCCAGACCGTAATATGCCTTTCTTCAGCACCTGCACTCTATTTTCCCTGAGTGTGTACATACGTGTTTAACTCTGCCTAATAAGCCTGTTCATGCCTTTCAGCGACGAATCCTGCAATTCTTTCCTAAGGTAAGTTAAGAACCTACTCTGTTGGTGGGGAGAGCTGAAATCTCCATCTCCTTTTTGGGGGGACTACCTTCAACCCCACATAGCGGCAACACGATCGCTTTTAATACTCACAGCACTCACAAAACAGATACACTCACCACACTCATTTTTAGATTCAAAAACAGGTTCCACGCTGGGTATGGTGGCGCACGCGTGTAATCCCAGCACTCTGCGAGGCTGAAGCAGGAGGGTCACAAGTTCAAGCACAGCCTGGACAAGTTAGCAACTTACAAGACTCCATCTCAAGATAAAAATAAAAAGGGAAAGAGATGTACCTTAGTGTAAAGACCCTGGGTTCAATCCCCAGTACTACAAAACAAAAAACATACAAATAAAAATCCAAAGAGCCAAAAACCTGATGCTCCAGAATAGCCATGATTTGAACTGGGTTTATCCAAGGTCTCAACCTCTACGTCAGGTCACCTGTCCAAAGAAAGTCTGACCCCGAAACTCACGCAGACTGAAGCACTAAGACGGCTCCTGGTGAGCTCTACCACTATTACTTCTGACAGAGAACCTTGACTCTAAATACAGAGCAAGAAACACTCACAGCGCTGGAGGGACACACCAGCTCCTTCGTGTCTATGACGGAAGGGTGCAAACCAGTACTGCACACGTGAACGTCAGCGAACTGTTCACTGCCGACCCCCACTGAGATGTAGAATTTGTATCAGAATCTAAAGCATCGTATCACCCAGCATGGCTTGGCTGACACTGATTTGTAGCAAGCCTTTCTGGATAAAGGAGGCAGGGTCATCGTTTATTTATTTTTTATTTATTTCTTCATGGACTGGCAACCAATAGCTGGCTGGCCAATGCTGGACCAGAGGCTGCGTGCGAGCAGCAGTGGTAGAGATGATACATTGTGTGGGGCCGGCGGGGGTGGGGGGGGGCGGTCAACATTAAGAGTTCTGCACATGCTTCCATCTGTTCAAAGAGTAAATAAACAGACCAAATATTACAAACATAAATACAAATGATGCGATCACAATGATGTACCCCAAACCATTTAGAATGGTTATCTTTGTTGGTTTTTTGTCTTTTTGAGACAAGGTCTCACTATGCAGTTCAGGCTGGCCTTGAGTTCACTTTGTAGCCAAAGCTGGCCTTGAACTCGCAAAGATCCTCCTGCCTCAGCCTCCTGAGTGCAGGGATTACAGGCATGTGCCATCACG